GGGTTCGGCTTCGAGGGCATCATAAAGTTCGGGCGACACTTCGATGGCGACGCCGTCGAGCTTCGGGTGTCGCCCCTTCACCATTCGATACTTCCACCTCTCTAGATTGTTGCGCGCCGGGGTCCGACATTCCTTAGCCAAGGCGGCCAAGGGGCCCAAATTAGACACGGCTTTGCACTTTACACAAATGAACACGCGAGAGCGATCGCTGCCATCGAAACTCAATAACTTGTGCCCTCTGGCTCCTACTTGTTGCAAAGACTCTGGCGCTTTGCCCGAGCAGCCATCGGCGGCGGGCAGCTCGCTCTTGCCGAACACAACATCGGGTTTGGGTCTTCTTTTCTCGAGGCACGCTGCGCACCTCCAATAAGACATGTGCCATCCCCACTCATGAGCAGCTGAGGGCGGGGCAGGGGGCTTCTGGCGAGGCGCTCTGGGGGCCAACAGGATTCCCGCGAGGTCCAGGGCAAGCCAAGGGGGCAAGAGTCGGGCCGTGAGCATGCAAACATATCGTGGAACCTTCACCTGCCACTCAATCTGATCAAGTTCGGTGGGATCTCCTGTTGGGTGAGACGTCGCGCCAGGCTTTGCTGCTGCTGCATCAACAGCATCATTACCGAATTGTTTATACCACTGCTGCTGCTCAGTGAGACTTGGGACATCTTGCGCGTGGGCTTTGACTTTAAAGAGTTGCTGCAACACGAGGGTTTGAGCCAGCATCATTGTGCCGACGTAAACTCGCTTGTATGAAAAACGCTCCGACTGCGGCATCTGGAAGAAGTGCCGCCACGTTTTTGCAGTCTGAGAAACCTTCAGCAGGGCCCGAAAGATTGTTGGCCACCATCGCCACAGCCCCAAACTCTCCAGCCTGGGGGGGTCTGGGGGAGAGGTCCCCGAACTGGCCCCGCAACGCTGACCAGCTGCTTATGCTCCCCTTTGGTGACCTGCGCATATCCCTACGAGGCTCTGCTAAGTTCTCTAATGGGATGCCCGGTAAATGCGCCGTCCATGAACGTCGCCCCTGAAACTTCACCTGGGCCCCCTGGGAGCTCAGCTTCGTGGAATTGAACTTGAATGCTTCCTGAAGTCCTCGGGCGTGGTAGTCGGCCCCCTGGATGCTCGAAGACTTCCCTAGTATGCATCAGCGCATCCTTAGTGCCATTGTGATCAATGGCGAGGGCCGCGTCTACGATCGGCTGATCGACCAGCTCTTCTCGAACACCGCTGCCAGCAGGGCATTGCCAGACAGCTTCGATGCCGCGCTCCATCTGGCAACTGATTGCAGAGCGGACACTGAGGCGAAGGAAGCTGGTAGCCTAGCTCGGTTGCACGGTCTCTCGCCCAGAGAGCGCCGCACGTGAGAGACTTGATGCGGCCCTTCTCGAAGTAAGAGAACTTGTTAGACCTCAGGGAACTTGCCGCGATGCCGAAAGGCACCCGGCCTTCAATCCCAAGATGTTTACCTGCATCTCGTTCGAGCTGCCTCGAGGCCTTTTCTCTAAACATGATCTTGACCAAGGCAGGCGAGCATGTAGTTGCAACGGCATCCTCCTGACAATCGTTCCTCATTGCGCTGAAGTTCGGCATCGACCGCCCCATCCTCCTTCAACTCACTCTCAAGGCCATCATGGGGCCTGCAACTCTCCTCCAAGAAAGCTCAGCCTCAGGAGCAGCGAACGCCGAGTCCCAAAGGGCATTGACATAGAGGGTGTGCGCGACCTGTCTAAGCTGAGTGGCGTACACATCCTTGGCGTGTCTGACAGCTGGTGCTACTGCTCCGAATCGCGAGGGGTCGCCATGCAGGACGAGAAGGGCCGTCAAAGACCGCGTTCCTGCCGACGGTCGAAGAACAAATCCTAAGCTTCTCCTGCACGAACTCAACTCGTAATCTGAGACTTCGTGAACCTCCGAGCCGTAGTTGAGGCCACCTACGGGGCCACTCGTATAAACTTGCCGAAGATGAGCTCCTAATGCATTCTTGCTCTCTTGCACCTTTTGGTCCGACCGACATGGGGCGTTCTCGTGTGTGTGTGTGTGTGTTTCCCCCCCAACCTTCCTTGGTTGGGTATTCGTATTGAATAGGGGACTATGGTCTCCACCTTTCTTCCCCCCGCCTCACTCCCTCCTCCTGCGTCCTGCTTCCTGCTGTATCCCCGCCCCTCCTCAGTTGGGTATTCGTTTTGAATGGGGCACTGCTCGCGCGTCTCCTCCCGCCTCCCTCCTGCCTCCTGCCTGCCTCCTCCTGTCTTGCCTGCGGGGGGCTGCGATCAGCGAATCTGTCGCCACTTTCGAAGCCTGCTGGGGGGCCCAGCACAGTGGCGCCGCGCGCGGGCCCGAATTCGACCTCGCCATACCTGGGGGGCTGCGATCTGTGAAACTGTCGCCACTTTCGAAGCCTGCTGGGGGGCCCAGTACAGTGAGGCCACGCGCGGGCCCAAATTAGACCTCGCCGTCCCTGGGGGGCTGCGATCAGTGAAACCGTCGCCACTTTCGAGGCCTGCTGGGGGGCCCAGCACAGTGGCGCCACGCGCGGACCCACATCGAACCTCGCCGTCCCTGGGGGGCTGCGATCTGTGAAACTGTCGCCACTTTCGAAGCCTGCTGGGGGGCCCAGTACAGTGAGGCCACGCGCGGGCCCAAATTAGACATCGCCATCCCTGGGGGGCTGCGCTCTGCGAAACTATCGCCGCGTTCGAGGCCTGCTGGGGGGCCCAGCAGCCCAGCACAGTGGCGCCACGCGCGGACCCAAATTGCACCTCGCCATCCCTGGGGGGCTGCGATCCGTGAAACTGTCGCCACTTTCGAAGTCTGCTGGGGGGTCCAGCACATTGGCGCCGCGCGCAGATTCAAATTCGACCTCGCCATCCCTGGGGGGCTGCGATCTGCGGTTAAGTGAGATGCGCGTGCACTCAACGGAGGGGGGGGAAGAGGAGGAGAGGAGGAGACAGGGACGGAGGGGAGATATTTTTACTCATGGCACCGTGGCGACGCGCACCTCCGCCCGGGCACGGACCCTGGCGGTCCACGCCCGGCGCGCGTGCGTGGGCCCTGACGGCCCGCGCGCTCGCGCTCTGGCACGCCTGCGGCCGCGCGGCCCAGGCGCCAGGCAGCAAAGCGGGGTGGGTGGGCACCCGCGCGTCGGCCTGAGCCGAACGCTACGGACCCAAAATGGCTACCTGAGCCCACGCCCCCTCCCACTTAACCTGCAGTCTACAAACCTATCAGACTATGCAAAATAAGTGAGATACGCGCGCACTCAACGGAGGGGGGGGGAAGAGGAGGGGAGGAGGAGACAGGGACGGAGGGGATATATTTCTACTCATGGCAGCGTGGCGACGCGCACCTCAACCCGGGCACGGACCCTGGCGGTCCACGCCCGGCGCGCGCGCGTGGGCCCTGACGGCCCACGCGCTCGCGCTCTGGCACGCCTGCGGCCGCGCGGCCACGAGAGAGTAAAAGCGCAAAAGCGCGCACAGGGCCGCCCCGCCAGAGGCGCAGGGCGGGGCTCGAGGCCCAGCGAGCTTCGCGCGCGCGGCCACTAGCCTGCATCGCTGAAGCCTTCCGCGCCCCGCGCGCCCAGAGCGCGGGCGCGGCGCGCGCGCGAAGAGCGCAAAGTAAGAAAGAAAAACGAAGCGGCGCGTGATGCGCCGGGCGCAGAGCGCAAGTGCGGCCCCGCCCGCGCAGCGCGCAGGAAGAAGGGGGCCGCATAGCGCGCGACGTGCGCGCCATGCTCAAGTCAACCTCTCACTCGCGGGCCTGGGCCCGTTTGGCGGCCCGCCTCAGTGGGCCGCTGTCTTCCGCCCGCAGCCCGCGATGCCGCGGTCGCTGGCGTCGGGATGTGGGGCGCTGCCGCGCCTAGATGGGTGGCGTGTCCCCCTGGCGGCCACGGCCCTCGTCGCCGCTGCGATCTCCGCCGCGCTCACTGCGGCTGCGGGGGCTGCCACCATCGCCGCCCCTCGAAGCGCGGCTGCCCGCGCCGGTCCTGCCGCGCGCGCTCGGGCCGCGGCTGCCCTGGTCGCCCTTGGAGTAGCCGCCCTTGCCGCCCTTGTCGCCCTTGCCGCGGCCCTTGGCGCCCTTGGCAGTCGTGCCGGCGTACTTGCCCTTGACCTTGCCGCCCTTGCCGCCCTTGTCGCCCGAGCCCTTGCCGCGCCAGGCTGGGGCCCCTCCCCCGCCGGCGGCGGCCTCCGCTGCGGCCGCCGCAGCGCGCGCGCCTCCTCTTCTTCTCCTGCTCGTACCAGCCGCCGCGGGGAGCACAAAGCTGCCCGGCGTGTTTCCCGGTCTTACGCCGCGAGCGGCCGGGGGGGGTGTCGCCGCGGTGCGCCCGCGCTGGGCCCCGCGCCAGGCTGCGGCTGGGCGACCTCTCGCGCTTGGGCCAGCTGAGGTCGCCCGGCGGGCGGCCCCCCTCAGCGCCCGCGCTCGCAGCACCCCCGCTGGGGCGCTCTCCGTGGCCGGAGCTGGGGCCTGGCGCCTCCCGCTCGGCGTGGCCGCTCTGCCGGGCCTTCTCCACCGCCGTCCCCTGGGGTGCTTCACGTCTAAAGTTTAAGAGTTGCCTTATCAACTCTTAATTATAGAGGTAGATCTTAAATTAAGAGTTATAGTGCTTTTAGTATATCCATTACACGCCCTATCATACATTACCGTAACATACTACTGCACAACTATGCATCCCATATCACACCATATCATGCATTTCCTTACTCATGGTGTTTTGCTATGGCTGTTGCCATGTTTCGTGTCTCAACACAACTCATTGTGGATCGCAGTGGGCATGTTGTCATCACTACAGTCCAGCTTGGGTTGTTCATCGTTTCTCTCTGGCGGTGTGTAGTCACATTGCAGTCATCGCGATTTCTCTCGGGTGGGGTGTAGTTATCTCTGCAGTTCAGCTTCGGTTGTTTGCAGGCCTTGGAAACGCAAGTCTTTCATTCAGCTGTAGCAAGTTTTGGCTTCCAGTGGTTCCAGTTGGCGCTCGTTTCTCTCCCAGTGGTTCCAGAGCAGCCATGCCAGGCCGCGCGGCTTCATGGGCCGGTGAGTCGGAGGCTTTGGTTGCCGCACTTAATCCTCACATCGCCAGCCCTGACCAGGTGGTCCATGGGGAGAATCCCTCTACAGCCAAGACGGAGCCCGATAACATCTTGAAGTTTTCGGACATGTGGGTGGAGCTGCAGAAGCTAAGCCCGAGCATGACCTTCAAGAAAACGGACCTCGCGGTCAAACAAGCCGACGCCCAAACCCCAAATAACGAAACCGTTCTTGTCACTCAACGTTTTGTTTTTAGTGCGTTGTTGGCAGTAGTTGTCACTACTGCCATCAACAAAAACAACTGACAAAACAACAACACACTGACATAGGACATGCAGCTCGCCCTCAGCGAGGTGGTGGACTCCAAGACGTGGGAGTTGAAGGATGAGCACATCAAGCCTTGGGTGGAGAAGACTTCTGCCAAGTTGCGCGTGATGATGCGGCACATCCAGCAGGCCAGGGCAAAAGTCCGTCAAGTGGGTGCAGCAGATCCCCTTCAGTGCGGAGGGCGCTGACGCGGAGGGCGAGGACGACGGCGCCGACGACGGCGCCGCCGAGGGCGCCCAGGTCATGCCGCAGACCCAGCAGCACCCCCCGCCCGCGCAGTTCCTTTACGGCTGGGACCCAGAGCACAACAAGGCGTGGAGGGTGGATGCCACCAATGGGCTCAGGGAGTTTGCAAGCAAGGTCACGATCCCAGACGACGCTGGAGACGATGATCCTGTGATTGCTTGGTGGGGTGAGACATCCGCCGAGATCTCCAGCATCGCGGTGGCTGAGTTCAAGGAGTTTGAGAAGGTGAGCTGCGAGAAGCGCCACTCGAGCCCCTACTTCCATGGCAAGAGAGATGGCAAGCTGGTCTCCGTGAAGAACAGGCTCAACGGAGGCATCCTGTTCATTGCCATCTGCCAGCCCGACGGCCAGCTTGGCCAGGTCAAGTCTGACCAATTCGGCACTTTCGAGAAGACTGTGGACGTCTTGGTCGAGATCGCCAAGGAGTTTGCGGATGGCAAGATTGAGAAGCTGCAGGTCGAGCAGGCCATCGGCATCAAGAAGTCCGAGCACGCGAAGGCCGCCCTTCAGCAGGAGAAGGAGGAGCAGAAGGCTCAGGCGGCGCAGCAGGCGACTACTGAGCAGGGGGCGGCGACTCCCAAGGTAGAGAAGAAGCAGACGGCAGCGGAGAAGAAGACGCCCATTGACGACAAGACCGCGATTCAGTTTCTGGAGGGGCGTCCGCGAGCTTCCAAGAAGAGGGCTGGCAATTCCGATGTGGTTCCTGAGGTGTCGAAGGCTGCCAAGGCGTCGACCGACAACGACTCCGACAGTTTCTTTTATGAAGACTCTCAGATTCCTGGTTGGATGTGAGTTCCATAAGTGGAAGCCGCAGCTTGCACCGTTTCAATTTCTAGCCACTCTTCGGGGCGTGCAATCTCACAGATTGTTGTGCGCCTGTAGTCTTCACTACAGGTTTTGGTGGCCGTGCAGCTGGGACATCTTCTTTGCGCCTGCCCGATGCAGCAAACACCCGACAGGCGCATGTAGGACGCAGTGGTATGTTCAGTATTGTTATAGTATATATATATATATATATATATATATTATAACGCATACAATCATACGCCCATACAGTCATACAATCATACAGTCATACACTCATATCATACAGACATACAGTCAGACAGCCATACCGGCATACATTCGCACAATCATACAGCCATACAATCATGCAGTTATACTCACATACAGTCATACACTCATGCAGCCAAACGGTCGCACAGTCATACAGTCATACAATCACATAGTCATACGCCCATACACACATATATTCATACAGCCATACGGTCATACAGTCATACACTCATACACTCGTACACATACAGTCTCACAGCCATACAGGCATACGGCCATGCAGTCATGCACTCATACTGCTATGCAGTAGTAATCACTACTGCGCAGTAGCAATCACTACTGGGGTATTCACTACTGGAGTGCTGACATCTCTGCGAGTTTACTTTTAGGTTTGGGCCCTCCCGAGCATTTAATCATTCGCAGACTCTTGGGCTTGAGTTCCAGGGAGATGGCACCTCGGGGAAGTGAGTCAGAGGTGGCAGTAGTGATCACTACTGCCATGAAAGGATCCAGGTTCATTCGGCATGGGGGATGGGCCCGCTTAAGTGACTGACCGATTGACTGACTGATTGACTGACTGGCTAACCGACTGGCTGACTGACTGACGCACTCCGCCACCCACCAATGCACGCAGTCACGCATCGGCAGGCGGGCGTGCCAGAATAGTGCGCTACCCGCGCCAGTAGTGATCACTACGGCCATGGTGGCCTTCAAGTGAATTCGATATGTGCGTTGGGTCCTCTAAGTTACTCGCACACTCGCGGACGAGGAGGAGACGAGGGCGACGAGGAGGAGGAGGAGGAGGAGGGAGGGAGGGATACGAGGGGGTTGGGGAGTGAAGGATGAGGACTGTTGGAGTGGAGGGAGGCCCTTGCGCACGCTGCTTGGCCGCTCCTGCTGCCGAGCTAGGCGGCGCCAGAGTGCTGGCGATCACAGCACAGTACTTGTCGGTCTGCTGCCTGCGGGGGGCACCGCAGGCGCTTGCCCTCCCTCGCGTGCTGCTTAGTCAGAGCCTGAATCGTCGCCGCTGGACTTCGGCTTCTTCAGGGGCACCTGCGCTCCATCTTTATCGTCCATTGCCGCGTCCAGCAGTTCCTTGAAACGGTGCAGCGACCGCATCCACGCAGACAAGTCTCTGAGGAATTGCCTCTTGCTCAGGTCCCTGTCATTTGGGCCAGGAGGCAAAATAACAACTCCGCGATGCGCCTCCTCTATCTCCTTGGGCGCGTGCAACCAGCTCTGGTACTCCACGGTTCTCATGCCCAGCTCGACTTGCCTGACCCTGGACCACATCATCACATGTGGCTTGTCGATCTCGCTCAGATCTTTGAGCAAGCCCCGTTTCTCTCGAACGTGCCAGACGCAGGAGAAGTACTCCACCTCGATCGGTGTCCTGGTGAGGAAGACGCCATTGGATGCCTTGAGGAATTTGCGACCTGCTCGGAACCACTTGGCAGTGTCGATGTAGATGAGGATGGTGCTGTCGGGGCGCACCCCGTCGAGGGTCGGCATCATGTGCACGCGGTTCCTGCCCATCGGGTGGAGGCCGTGTTGGGCGATCGCTTCCCAGCTGTTGTCGAAGGTCCCGTGGATGAGGTCGCCATCCCATGATGTCACCTGCTCGTAGCTGTCGTCCGACACTGGCAAGGTATGCCCCTGGGCAGCCCTCACTCGCGAGGCGCCACTGGGGAGATCCTCAAGCTGGAGCCTGCCCTTCTGGTCATTCTGAACCGCAGCCTGCAGGTCGTGGTCGGTCCATTTCCGATCGCGAAGGGGCTGCAGCCCCAAGATGTCGTTGCAATCAAACCAACCATCTTTATCCCACTGAAGCCCCCAATCGGCTGCACCATGCCGACAAATGTACACGATGAACTTCTTCAACTCCTGGAGCTCCTGCGCAGACAAGGGGCAAAGGTCGACAATGCATTTCAACGCGGGCTTTTTCTGCGGTGGTCACAGCAGAAAAGCGACATCAACTGCTGCGCTCACCAATGTAAGGGGAGTCGTCATGGCCATCGCGTGGCGATGGCCACGCGTTGGGGGACTCGCTTCTGATTGGGCACGCCCATCCACAACACAGGGCCCGATAAGGAATGAAGGAGGGATGCGGGGCGAGGGAGAGGGAAAGAGGACGGGGGGGGGGGGGATGCAGAAAAAATGATGGAGGGATGGTGGTGGCATATGTTAGATGGTTGATCCAATGGGCCTTCGCCAGGAGCTTGTATCCCCCCCCCCTCTCCCCAAGGGGAAAGCTAACTTTAACCAGAACGTTGGACACTAGCCTTGCCCCAAAAGCCTTATCCCAGGGATCGACCCCCAGACCCTATCCCAGGGATCGGCCCCCGCACCCTATCCCAAGGATCAAGCAGCGCCTGTTGCAGTGGTCGCCCCATCTTTGCAGCGTCCCGCTCCAGCTCTGCATCGCGTCCGCTGGGGGCGATATTGCGCATGCCGCTGTTGAGAATGGTGGCGAGCCCGTGGCAGCAGGCGCTGGTGATTGGCAGGGGGCGCCGAGGCCGAGGTTTCTAAGTTGGGGGAGTTGATCAAGCAGACTACCAAGGAGTCGCCTCCAAAGGTGGACTTGAACAAGGGAAGTCTGACAATCGCCTTCTTGCATTACTCGAGGAAGCTGCACAGACGGGCGCGAACATGCGGGGCCCGCTGTGCAACCAGTTCGCTCGGGACCCGAAGGGTGGGAAAGACCCGAACTACACGGGGACCAACAAGGAGGAGGAGAACTTCAGAAAACGATGGGCCCGCGAGAAGTTCGCTGAGATCATCAACACCAAGGAGAAGGAGGAGAGCCTCACCTACGTGGACAAGAGCAAGGGCACGACGACGAGCATCAAGGACTTGCTGAAGAAGGAGGGCCCAGAGGACACCGCCAAGTACGTGGCCAAGTGTGCTGCCTTGGGGGCCCCTTGGGTCGAGTGGGACGACATGTGGGAACGGTGGAATGCGATGGTGATGGAGAAGAGCCACTCTGAGATCTTCGCGAGGGCATGGAGGTCGAGGCAGCAGATGCTCTCAAGAGAGGGCGGTTCAGCGGATCAGCCCGACAGGGGCGCCCCCGCTGTCGGCGCAGTGGTTGCTGCTACCGCTGCAGCTGCTGCGGGAAACCTGCCAGAGCCCAAGGCAAAAGGAAAGGCGAAGGCCAAGGCAAAGGCTGCGACGAAGAGGGCGGCAGAGGTGCGCGACCAGCCGAGCGCGAGCAAGAAGCAGAGCACCCCGATGGCCCTCGCCAACAAGACCAAGGCCAACTACAAGGCAGCTGTATCAGGGGCGCAGACACTGCAGGCCGTGATCAAATCGACAGTTGAATGGGGCTGGGCGAACAACGGTGTTGCCCAGAACGACCTGGCTAATGCAATCACTGCGCTTCAGACGGCAGTAGCGGGCGACACCTTCACGAAGACGTTCTTGACCATGAGCGCCGGCGAGCTGAAGAAGAACTACAACGATGACCAGATCACGACTCAGTGTGGCTCAATGTCTCAGATGCTCGACACGCTGGTGAAGAAGGTTCATGTGGAGACGCAGTCGCTGGTGAACATGCACGCTGCGCGCATGAAGGCTGTGAATGCTGCATGAGGGATTACTATGCCAAATCGGTGTGATGGTGACTTGTCCCATTGAGCTTCCGCTGCTTAGGGTGTTCAGCGGAGGCACGGGGCGTGAGCATGCTCCCAGGGCAGCGCCGTCTGCATAGGCAGAGCGTCGCGTGGCCTCTGTGGTGCTCACCACAGGCGGCCTTTTCAGTACAAGCACATTGCTTTTCAAGCGTAGTGCTTAAGAGCTGTTGGAATCACAAAGAATCATGATTCGCACATCGAAATGGAGTGATGAAACTTGATGAAAATGAGGCGATGAACTATTGATGAAACCTGTACTTTGTGTTCGTTTTATCACAAAACAGAAAATCATCACACTATATGGGGATGATGAAAGTTTGATGATTTTCTGATGAAACTTGCGAGCTTGATACAACAGAAGAAATCAATATAAGTTGAATTTTCATCACTCCTGAGATGTATCATCGCCATCTTGAGGAGGGCCGAAGGGTGCATGATGGCAGTAGTGATCACTACTGCGAGCGATCACTCCCTCATGGAGGGATGGAGGGAAGGGGGGGGGGGGGGGGGGGGGGGGGGGAAGGGCAGGGCAGGAGGGAGGAACCGCCATCTTGAGGAGGGCCAACGGGTGCATAGTGGCAGTGGCGATCACCACTGCGATCGATCATTCCCAGATGGAAAGATTGAGGGGGAGGAAGGGAGGACGGGAGGAAGTGAGGCAGGGCAGAGGGGGGGAATCGCCATCTTGAGGAGGGCCGAAGGGCGCACGATGGCAGTAGTGATCGCTACTGCGAGCGATCACTCCCAGATGGAGGGATGGAGGGGAGGGAAGGCAGGGCGGGAGGAAGTGAGGCAGGGCAGAAGGGAGGAATCGCCATCTTGAGGAGTTCTTAGAGGGGGCGCGATGGCAGTGGTGATCACTACTGCCAGCGAGCACGCCAAGATGGAGGGATTGAGGGCGTCAAGTGTGAGATGGGGGTCAGGAGGAGATCGTGGGAGTAGTAATCACTACTCCCAGCGGCCGCGCTCAACTGTGAGATGGGGTCGTCCAGTGACATCAAGTAAACCGACCTTTCGGCTTTCGAAGTCTGGGGGGCGGGGGCGAGGGGCGGGGCGGGTGGGTGGGTGGGGGGGGGGGGGGAGATTATCGTCTTCAGGGCCGGC